CACGGTAAACCCAATCGAATCCTGACTACTACATATTGCAATATATCCATTGGCTTAATGTAAATGGTAATCATATCACGCTAAAATCCCATGTTCTACTGAAATCATCTCACGCTAAAATTACAAAAAGTGATTGTTATTTCGTATTGGTCAGCCTAACTGTCATGCAACCGTCCGTTTCCATTTGTCTGCTGAAGAAGAAGCAGCTCAAGACATGAATGCAAAATAGAGAAACACACGCAATTCAAAATAGAGAAACACCCTACAGTTTTATGCATGCACATAGTTGGTACAAAATGGAAACCTACAAAAACAGAACCAACCTTGCTACAATTTGGTTATACCGGGGTCTGGTATCCCAAAACATAGAGCTGAAAGTCTTACAAAAACAACTTCACAACCGAGGCAAACTATCCAAAATTGACTGGATACAAAAAGTCATGGGAACACCCTAGGGGACTAGGCACATTTGGGCATCGGAAGCATGCTTGGTACAGGAGATATGCCCTACCTTTTCGTAGTGGAATTTTCAAGGAGGATACTTTTCCTATGTATATGTTTTTTCTGTTTGCAAGTACCGTACTTTGAACATAGTTCAAGACCATATCTTGACAAGGGAGTCACTGGCGCAGTCAAGATGGCAAGCCTTTCCCACGGCAGGCTTGGCCGTTTGGATGGCAAGCTGCACCTTGAGTGGCCATCGATCTACTTCAGTGGTCCATGAACAAAGCTCAAAAATGCTCAAAGATGCTCAAAGGCTCTTTTTCTCAGGGCCACACCACATGACAGCCAAGAGATGCCAAGAGGATGACCTGCGATGAATTGGAAACGGTCCCAACATATCCCAACTCCGGACATGGTCCAAAGCAGCCAACGTGATCATTCTGAGGGAATATGCGGCTATATGCAACTTCTCATTTTCATTTGTTTTCTACTTATAAATATTATTAAATAGTATACTGTTCCATCTTTTTCCCTGATTTCAGCTTTATAAGGAACACAGCAGAAGCGTGCTCCGCATCACCAGCCTATCCACCGAAGCTCCATCGCTACGTTCAAAACGTCAACAATCCCCACATTGCCCACATCCAGCTTTTCGTGGTCGATTTTAACATGTTTTCCATATTGATTCTTTTGAATTTGAGATGCCCAGCTCTCTCGGAATGGCCTCGAGATCCCCGTTCAGCTTGGCAGACTGCTCGTCATCCAGAATGGCAAGGTCCTAAATATATGTTCATTACAAGAAACATTGAACATCATATATAACATAATTACTTGGAATATCTTGGAAATTCTTGGAATATCTTGGAATGCATTCTGGATGATCCGTAGCACTGGTCTGAGATGATACAAGATGATACAAGTATATTCCGTCCTCGAATTGATGATGACCCGTTGCGGGCACCATTCCGGATGCCTGTGGTGAAAGCAGAAGCAGATAGAAGCAGGGATGCGAAAAAAGAAACGGCGCACAGAACTCCAAGAGTCATCAGCAAAATTTGGCATAGCAAGGCTGGAGTTCCTACTTTGCAGTGGTCCAGATTGGACAAGGTTGGTAAGAGGACATAGTAAGTAGTAGGTGTCAGGTCATTTATCTGATTCCAAAAAATCCGTTTCTGGCTATCAAGGGTTGTAACTAACACATTGGGCTCTGCCAAAAACATGCCTTGGGCTGCGCCACGCATGTACAGCGGCGACGCAGAGAGCGTTGGTCTTGTTCCCAAGTGCTGTCCTGGCTCCAATAACGAAGCTGCCGAAGCAATGCTGGTGAATGCTGGTGACACGCTGGCTGGGCTTCCCACTTCAGTTTACGTTCCATAGTCACAGTCTTGAAAAAGAATTGGAAATTCCTGACCATTCCTGAGCGGTCCATGTGCATCTCACCAAGTTCACCCTGAAATGTAGCTGGGGACGCGGCTCCATAGTTCCATAGCCAACTTGGGGAGGTGATTGAGCTGCCCACTGCATCTCCTGCAAGCAACACATCGCAGGGCACTTATGTATTTATCGGGAATTGTGGGGACCTCTATACTTCTTAAGCTTTCTCTGCCATGATTTCACCGTGAGCAGTCCTGCCCTCACAGGCTTTGGGCATATCCATCATTCTGGTTGCTCGGGGTGCCATTTGGGAGAACCTCCAGGTTTCACGCTTTGATTCAAAAACTCACAGAATCTCACAGAGTCGCAGAATCAGAAGAAAATACCAAGAAAGCATCTGATTGGTAGTTGGGCAACGCAAAATATATATTATAAAAAAATAAATATAAATATGTATGTATATATATATATGGACCATGGTTGTCATTGGGGATCATCATCCCCGGCATGGTTGAAGAATGTCGGACGTGACCGACCGCCTAGTAATATCGCAGTCTGTCGATGCACATCGGATTTCTTTTTGCGTGACCAACTCTCCCGTTCCCCAACCTGGTTCTGGCCCGGCAGATGCTTTGACATTGGCTGTTGAACTGACATAATTTCACACGTGGAGTAAAAGCACCAAAAGCTGTCAAACTGAGACTTCGAAAAAATCCCAAATCATTTGTGGGTCATAAATTTCTGAAGGAAACAGATTGAGTTTCCCACGCCATGATGAAGTTTGCGGCAAGTGAGCCCGAGAAACACCACAATGGTCATGATCTTAAATGGCTTCGAGCGGCCGGCTATAGAATTTCACAATAAAAGAAATTTCAAGGGATACCCCCCCCTGAAATTTCATGTACAAGAGGGTGGTGATATACAAATATACATTGTAGATTCCCGATGGAAAGCGGGCCCGAAAAATGCACACAATGACCTCTGTGCATTAAGGTACCCCCCCCCTGTGCATTCACGAAAGGGGCCCCTATGTGGTGGTGGTAAAGGTGGTTGTTTATGAACGGGCGGACTAGGGGGAATGTTATTAGGTGGAGGTGGCAAACCTTGAATTCTATCTGCAAGGGTTGTGGCACTAGAATCAGGAGCTTTGGGCCTAGCCTTAGCTGGTGGCTTAGCAGGGCTAGCAACTGGGACTGGTGCTACGTCGCGCCCAAAGGCAGCGACCCCTTGAGAATCTGACTTTGGGGCTTGTGGGACTGGATGGACAGAGACAGTAACCCTTGGACGCGGTGGCACTGCTGGCTCAGGTGGCCTTCTCAAAGAAGGTTGCCAGTTCGGCGGTGGGTGCCCAGGCTCTTTGGGTCCTTGCTGGACCGGAGTCGGATCTGTGCCTCCACTTGCCGCGCCAGCAACGGGTGTTGCGGCAGCAGGCCTTACCGCTTTTGGACGGGGTTGCTGCTGTGGGCCTACGTATCTATAATACCTATCCCACTCTTCTGGGCGCGGGTGCTCTGCCCCTAGGATACGTTGGTTGATGATCCTTTTTGGGGGTAGTTTCACCAGAGTTTATCACTTGTTCGGCGTGTGAAGTACCTCTGCGCCTGTCCAAACCGTAGATGTGAGCTCACTCTTTGTAAGGGATGAGGATCTGGTAGGCCAAAGCTAAACACTGTGATGTTGGGAACTCCTCAACAAGTCTTGAATGAAGAGCTATCAACCAGCGAGTGCTTTCGTCGGCGTATTCGTAAGAAATCTTTCTTAACCAAAAGCCACCTACGATATCCCCTCCGGAGTTATGGTAAAGCCAATTTTGGTATGCCTCGAAGTCGTTCCACCAAGCTCGCTTTGCTTCTTGCCACCTGGTTGTGGTACCACCCCTGCTGGATCGAACCCTTGGTCGATGGGCTGTTGATGAACTAGCGGGGGAATGTCCTACTTGGATAGGATCGGCACCTGGGTCAACAAGATTAGGGCTAGTTGGTGGTGGGACTATTTGATCGAGGCAACTAGTGTTGGCTTCTGTCGCGACACCGGATGTGTCAGCGACCGCAGGCTCAGGCACGGATGCAGATGGTTCGGATGCAACGGATGCTTCTCCTACTGGACCCGCCTCGTTACCTAAACCCAAAAGATCGGCAGTTTCAACCTGTTGTTGGTCTTCTTCAGCTGGATCTGCACAATCTGTTGTGTCAACCTCGCACTCGGCCTGTTCCAGGAGTTGAAGAATCTTGTTGAGGATCTACTTCTTCTTCTTTTGCTCGATCAATGTCCGTGAAAGCAGCTTCCGCTGGGTTACCCAAATCAGAAGGTGGTTCCAAAAATGACTGATCTTGAAGTGAAGTGTCAACCCCAGTTTCTTCCGTCGCGACGGGATCGTCAGCGACCTCCTCTGGCAAGCCAATCGCTGAAATTACTGCACTGATGCTCTCGGCCTCGTGGATCTCCTCCTTCACCTCTACCAGTGATCCTTGTGGATCTGCAGAGTCTGTCACAATGGAGTCGACACCAGAAGGCACGGGCGCTTGTACCTCAGACAGATCGGCCCAGCTTTGAGATGTCTCAGCTACTGGTTCAGCAGGCCACGGAGGGGACACCTCAACGCTTTCTGCTTCCTCAGCTGCCTCGACTCCCTCGGCTGGAGTTACCGTCGCGCTGGAATCAGCAGCGACCTGTTCCGAACTGCCTGGGGGCATGCAACAAAGAACAGTGAAGTGCGAAAAGAAGTTAGGGCCTAAGGCCGGTTTTACCGGATTAGGTTCCCCAACAAAAGCCTTACGGCTGATAACCAGTTAAACAGGGGGTCGAACCAGCCACCCAAAAGAAAAGGGGGAAACTAGTCCGGCAAACCCTGCACATGTGACAAGCACCTTTTGCTCACAAGGCACTTGAGCCATTGCGTCAGCAGCGTAATCTATTAATTATACCCCGGTAGTTGTTGGGATACTAAGACTACCTACTTCTAACTCTGGCTCTCTACCTATCTACTGCAATTAGATAGGAGGTGCTATTCTGTACATCTTTGATGGGAATAGCTACATTGGATTATTGGTTCTCATAGCTACGGCAGTGCTCTACACATGACCTACTACCTATGCTATACATAGTGGGGCTCAGGGGTCGGTATATTTCAACTAAAATAAATCAAAATACATGACATGTTTTCAACATCTTTGCACAGATAGCCTTGTCTTCGAGCTGCTCTGTGTTTTTCGGGTCGACCAAGTATGACACCCAGCTGAGCAAATGTCTGGCGGATGGTTCTTCAGGAACGTTTGACTTGCCCAGGGCTGCGATGAGAGCAGACTGCGCGGTGGAAAGCCACTCGCTACTGCTGTTGTTTGCGGCTATCCCCAATTCTTTCAGAACCTCCGGATCATCAAATTCTCCATGAAACCACTGAACTGCGATTTCAGCGCCTAAAAAATAAAACGTCTATTTATGGTTATAATATATATATATATATATTTATTTATTTATTTATATATATATCATTTGTATGTATATTTAGGTAAAAAGCACAAGGTCAGCTTTTGACATGCCGGAAACTTCCATTATCTTACATCATACAGTAATATGCAGTAATCATACACATGTTGCGATATGTTGCGTTTGTTTGATGTTTGTTTGATGTTTGTTTGATGTTTCCATCTGGTCAAAGTTGACCTTTTGGCAAGGCAGCACCTCGCCTCGTGCGTGAAGTGAACTCCGAGTCCATGGATTTCACCGAGAATGTCCATTTCTGACGTCGCGGACGTCGCGGACGTCGCAGACGTAGCTGTCTGAAGTGTTTTCAAGACGGGCGTCACGGGCGTCACAACAACTTCTCGGAACACTTCCAGCAACTCTTCTCCCAAACCATCCAAACCTCCTTCGTTTTCCAGATCTAAAGCCCGAACAACATGCACAATTTGCGAGTTTGTCGCTGTGCTTTTTCGTTTTCCAGAAGCTTGTTGGTCTTGAATCTGACGAAGCACAGCAATTGCTTTGCTGTAAATGTTTCTGTGGAGGCCTTGGAGTGTTGATTGCACATCTGTTTGTATGCCTTCGACAGCTGAATTCAACGCCTTGGCCCACACAAAACTTGGATTCAATGCTCTGAACTGACCATAGTTTGGATAGTTCGGAGAAGTCGCATCTGTGTCTTGCTGGTCTTGCTGACATTTTGCATTTTGGATGGTTTTCACCAAACTGAAAAGACCTGCGATGCTCGGCTCTAAGTTTTGCTTCCGCATCCGACCCAGTATGACCAAAGCCTCTTGCCAAGCACCTGCCTCACAAAGACTCAAGCTCGTGTCATAGCCGATGCCATCCAACTCATTCAAGGCATTCCACGAACCAAACGTGGCATGCCACGTGGGTTTCAAAATGTGTTCCAATCCGAGTCGCCAGGCTTTGCCTCTCTGGAACGAACTCAGGAGTGCAGTATGGCAATGGCGGTCAGGGATGATGCTCCAGCGTTGCATTTGGGTAAAAAGCTGCAGAGAGCGTTTCCAGTCTCCGCCCTTGGCACAAGCCGAGATCGTCGTGCTGAAACTCCGGGTGTCGTGGCAGGAACCCAATGTGGGCGCTAGGGAAATCTGGAGCTCTGGAGACTCCGGAGACTCCGGAGACTCTAGGCATTCTGCACATTCCTTTTCTGCATCTGCACGTTCTGCACGTTCTGCACTTTCTGCATGCTGTGTCTTCATCTCATCAAACAGTGCCAAACAGTGCTGCCTCAACATCTCCAAGATTTCATTTGAGCCGCTAAAACCATTTCATCCAGGAACAAAATTACAACCCAAATGACTTTCGTGGAAAGCCCTTGGCCGCAACAAGAAACATAAAGACTGTATGACCATGAGATGCCAAAACTGAAAAAGAAACAAATGCCTGTGCCACGTTGCCATTTGCTAGACCTTTCCAGCGCGTTCAAACACGCGTTGAAACTGACCGTGTCTGGTTGCACTTGGGCATGCTGCATGCGCCGCAGATTCGCAAGGCTTTGTAGCCAGTGACTTCCACGTGCCCAAGCGCTGATGACCATGTTCACTGCTTTCACCATGTTCACCGCGTTCACCATGTGCCCTGCGCTTTCCCCCTGCGCATCACTTGCACTGACCGACAGAATAGCAATGGTTTGCTGCCACTGAGAAGAGCGTAAACTAGCACTGGCGGCACTGGCGGCACTGGTGGCACTGGCCGTAGCAGCCGTAGCATTGCAGCTCAACTCCGCGTGTCTTGCGTCCGAACTTAAACGCCTGAATTGAACTGTGCTTGGTGGCTTCATCACTGAATTGTCGGATTCTGAGTGGATCGATGCTATGTATCTGTGACTGGTTCCATCTGAGTCCTGGCGAGGCATTGGAAACCAAACACTTTGATCATGTTTGATACAACTATTTCGCATCCCTTAAAAAGGGCGACTAACAGATTATCACAATATTTGGAGCCTAGTAAGGACGAATGTAGCCCCACAAGCAGGGTTCTTAAAATGAAGCTCGCACCGTAGTCCGTCAGCCAGTTTGTTGATAGTCTTGTCCTGGCAATCCTTGAGCTGAAGCCTTTTCAGATTTTTCAGTATACAAAAAGGGTAGAATCTTCGCATCGGCACAAGCATCAGCAGCACGTCCCAGCGATAGCGCTGTTGTTTCCCGTCACACTACGCGGAGAGTTTTGACAGCGCAACCTCCATGGCATGCGCTGCCATAAGGCGCGGAGAGACATACGAGAGATTTGAACGTCGGCCCGTCCTTTCGGAGCCCAAAGCACAGGTTTGACTCGGTTTGACCCCCTTTTTAGGCTCCAACGTGTAAAGGTTAAAGGGAGGTTGAATATGGTTGAATATGGTTGAATATGGTTGAATGATACCACTCATCATTGATGGAGGTGGCTCTGCAGTGAAAGAAGTCAACGGAAGGAGTCAAGCTATTAGATCACCGGCTAAACTAGACCTCTTCCGCTGCAGAAGCTTTTTTGGCCGCAAATATTTTGGGATCCCAGGTAGATCCACTCCCGAGTGCCTAGGTGAATAACATCCTTCATCTCTTAGCAGAATTAGCTGCATTAGTTAGGTTAGTTATGTTAGTTTGGTTCATGCTGAATTTCACTTCCTCCTTGTTCTTGGAGCCAGGAACGAATGAGGAAATATGCACTAGAACTGTATAACTCTTCAACTAGTACTGTATCAGAAACTCAAGAAATCTCTTGAACAGGACAAGCTGCATTTCTTTTCAACAGGACGCTGAACTGTACAAATGCGAAGTAGAAACACACAGGATGTGCATTAAATGTGCATCAGTACATCTAAGTTCTAAAGGAACAGGCCCTTATTGGTGGCCAGGTTTTTTGGGGCCCAACATGGACCCCGACCCCCAAGGAGCCAAGAGGAGAGCGGTCTTGTCACAAGATTTTGTGGCTGCACCGCTCCACTTTCAAGGCTGTCAAGGCTATCAAGGCACGCCGTTTCCAAAGACCTCGGCTTTCTGAGTTTCCAATGCGGAAAGCTTCCGCAGCTTTCTCGCAGATTTCCGATGTAGATCTCTTACAGCTCTCAGCTCAGCAGCTTCGGAGGCTCAAGCTTTGGTGGTGTGTACTGGCTTTAATTTCCCGGCTTCAGACAGAGCTTCATGTAGCTCCATCTTTGCTGAGATAACCTGCAACAGTGCCACTTCGGGGACGCGGTTTTGATGACCAAACGTTGCACAGGTTCACTTCTCCACTTTCAAGACTTTCAAGAAATCAAAATCAACTTGTCAACAAAATTGTCCATCTGCTAAGGCCCTCCGGCTTGTCCCTCAGGCTTGTTGAAATCCGCACACGAACATTTCACTCTTTATGTCTGTACAGAATTATACAGTACATCATCACCCTTTCATCCGTGCTACTGCTAAAGCTAGCTGTTGTTGATACCCTCCAAATTTCTGCAAACATGTTTTTTAAACACGATAATCATAAGCTCACTGGAACATCATCAAACATAGACATAGAATAGCATATCAATGTCACAAAGATTATCTTCCAAATGCTTATCAAAGGAAGGAGAGTGAGTGATGCTGTTTGTGGGGGAACGTGAGCTTATACAAGCAGTATCAAGCAGTGTATATCGATACAAGTAGCAGACTATGATACGCTTGGTAGATCTTGGTCGGACTTAATCTGAAGAGTACGAGAGCGCCTCATCCGGCGCCGAAATTCCAGCATGGCCCAAAGCACCATAGACGGGCGGGAGCACAATGGTTGTGAGGACAGCACCATCTTCCAAGCCAGACTCCCTGCAGAATCGGCAAAATGCTGCAAGCGGTGTGTCTTGGTATTCTTGGGATTAGATGGACAAGGTCGCATTGATTGACTTCGACAATACCTAGTCCACCAGGACTGTAAAATACATGACAACACTATGAAGCAAGCTACTGCATCACGTGTCAAGTCCAAACGTTCAAAGTCAACGCATGAATGATTCATGGCAGTGTTGACTGCATGGCTTCACTTATGAAGAGCAAAAATACTGAGATCCATACTGATGCGAAGCTTAAATGCTTTGAAGGAAACTTTCTACGCTTTTCAAAAGGCATTCTTGCAGTCCCTGCCTCACCGTGGTGCTTTTGTTCAAAACCTCACGGGACTGTGCACTATTGTGCACTTAGACCACTGCGTTCGCAATAGGGTGCGCAAAACAGAGCAAAGCAGAGAATCTTAGCAGCTCAGCTCTGTCTCTCTTGCGGAACAACGCTAAGCCGCTAAATCAAATGGTCCAAGTTGGTTATGACTGGACTGGACTCCTGGACTCAATGACTAGACGACAGGATGCTTGGAATTCCTAGGACAACAGTATCTACGGTATCTAAAACCACACATACCGTTTTTGAGGACCCTTGCCCAACCCAAAAAGTCCGGCCTGTCCCTCGTTCAGGAGCTTGATTCGGTGAGCACTCACGCCTAGTTTGGCTCCCACGGAGGCTCTGACGTTTTGAATCAGCACATCAAGCCTCAGTGTCTCAGTGGCTTCGAAAGACAATTTTATCTGACCTATTCGAACATATTCTGACGGTTTCGATGCCTGTTTCGGTGTTTTATCTGATTCGTTAGTGCCTAGATCTGCTACGAAGGTCTCTGAGCCGAAGCTGGAATGTAGAAAGACATCTCCGACACAGCGCTTTGGTTCCCACATCCAAAGTGCAAGGCCAGCTACTCTGTTTGCACGGAGATCTCTTCACCAGTCAAACGTCGTACCACCAGTTTGATGAAAGCACCTAAAATGCTATCGGGCAATGTCCGGCATTGTGCGAGGCTCTGAAGACAACAAGTGTTCTGAGGAGCAGAAGCGCAGCAGTAACACCACCAACAAGAGGAAAGGTGGAGAAAAGAGGCACAAGACGAACAGAATCGAACACATACGAACAGCATTGAATAACGTAAGAAGAACGCAGAAGCCGTGAAGCTGCAAAAGCTGATGTTTAGAAAGTTCCGGAAAGTGAAGCGAGATCAGGTGGACAAGGCGCTCGATTTGTCTTGGGATCCTTTGCCAGCGGCTTTCCCGGATGCTTTGCCTGCAGACTTTCCATAGCCTCCAAGCTGAAGGTGTTGCAGAAATCAGAAGACAGCAACAAACCTCACTGCAATCACGCTAAAATGCAGAGAAAACAGGATGATCCAGGATGATCTGTGTTTACGTTTCACAAGTGTCATATTGTTCAAGATCGTTCAAGATCTTCAGGCGCCCTTTCTTTGCAAGCTTTTGCTAGGAATGGACTCTGCTTCCATGGTGATCATGCCTGAAGGTGGCGGAGGTGGTACTGAACCCTTGCCAGCAGCTTTGCTCATGGCCTTCAAAATGTGAGGCAGTTGGGGACGGAAAAGGATTGAACAAACTTGAACAAACCAACAGACCTGATCAGACCTGAATACGTGTAATACGTGTGAGACTATGTGAGACTCACCATGACAGGAAGAATGTCAGTCACCTGAGATTTTGCCCTGCCTTGGAAGCGAAGGATGTCTGCAGGGTGAAACGGCTGCGATAGAAAAAGCCGAGGGCTGGTGACGTCAACAACAACGCCCATGAAGCATGAAAGGACCGACAAAAACAAACAGACCAAACAGAACAAACAGTGACTATATTAAGTAATAGACTTAGTAATAGACTTACGAGTACTATACAAAATACATTAAAATAAGGTTGCCATTCAAGAGTCTTCAAGTAATCTGCTCACCGCCAACGAATCGCAAAGGCAATGCTCAATTTCCTTGCCTCCTGATCTCTTTCAGCAGAGCTTCTCCTGCCTGCAAACTCACCATGAATGGGGCGTTCTCCCAAGTACCCAAAAGATCCCAAAACAAACAAGTGCAAGATAGGATGTAGATAGATGTAGATAGATGTAGATAGATGTAGATAGATGTAGATAGATGTAGATAGATGTAGATAGATGTAGATAGATGTAGATAGATGTAGATAGGAGGAGGAGATAGGATGTAGATAGGATGTAGATAGGATGTGACATGATGTACAGTAACGGAGGATTCATCCCTCAAATCGCACCAGCAATGAGCAGTCCTCGGCCATTCCACCAGAAAACAAGATCAGCTCCGGATCCACAAAACGGCAGCAGTTGATGCACCCAATTGCCAAATACCTGGACAAAGAAAGCAACAGAATGCAACAGAAAGCAACAACTAAAGCAACCCAGCGAGATGACAATTTGTTCTTTTCGGAAGCGAAATGAAAAAGCTTCAGAAAGCCCTTCCACTAGCAGTCACTAGCCACTCCAAGAAACAAATCAGCAAAGTCAGAAACTGGTCAGGGCATATCAGGGCACCTGGCTGTCTCTTGGACCAGATCAGATGCATATTTGTCTCCAGCTTCTGCGTGCTTAAAGACATCCTCGCAATCCAGAGCCTGAAGTCAGGTGCAGTCAGTCTTGTTGTGGCCTTCTTGTCTTCCGGTAGATTCCTTCTCCAACTTTCTTAACATAGTATCGGCACATATCGGCTAGGTTTGCCCGGATTCATATCTTTTGCTTTTCAATGTTTTTCAATACTTTATGGCTTTCAGTCTGTACTGTAGATATTCTGATCCATGCAGCTTCAGGGTGACTTTAAGGCTTGCAAATGTGGCTTTGATCTCAGCTCCTATCAGTTGAGGATATATAGATGTAAAAAGGATCATTTCGTGTCGATCTTTACATCAAACTGTACAAAACTGCTGATACTGCTAGGTCTTATCAAATTTGCTTTTGTTTGGAAATACAATAGGACTTCAAAACCATTTTGCTTGAAACTGCTGTGGGTACCTTTCCTGCAGCCATTCCCCACCTGATTCCTGGTTCCATGCGAAAAGCAAAACAGCCGATGCTCCGCGGACGCTCCGACGCTTGAAGCCCCGCCTTCAATTCGCTCAGGGACGAGTCAGCTGATAGAGCTTCTTTGGCTCTAATTGCCTGGAAAGCGGAAAACATATGGAAAAATGAAGACAAAACATATTATTATTATATAATAATTAAATTAAATTAAGATAATAGTAAATAGTTCCTTATCATATGTCATGATTCAGTTTGATTCTAATGATGCCAGTCGATCTGTTATCTGCATCATATGCCAGGTCTTTCCATGTCTTTCCGCATAGCCCTGGTCTGCCCCTTGTCTGTAGGCACAAAGCAGAAGCGCGGAAGCAGGAAGTGAAGACATGTGAAGACGCAACTGAGACTGGTACAAGTGCACTAGCAGATGCATATCCTTCGAGAATGCCGTTCCTTGGTTGAGCTTGTGGGCAGAAGAAACCAGTACAGCTCATACACTTCGAAACCATATATTAGAGATATGATGAGATTAGATAAGACAACATCGATTTTAAATCAAGGGTCCAAGAAGATGAAAGAAAAGAGACAGCAGGTTGGATTAGAGAAGGGCAGATTGGATAGATTGGACTTGATGAATGGGGATGTGGCAAAGCCAGCGACAGGTGAGATATATAGAACCAGAATTATAAGCAAAGAACAATGGAGAGATGGACTGACGAGTGCATGAGTGCTAGATGCATACATTGCATACTTAGACTGGCTGTATCTTGCTCCTATGTTGAACTGAATGTAGTCACAACTCATCGTTTGAAGAATACTATACACATTCTATTTGCAAAACCATCCAACTCTTTTTTTCTTCACGATCACTTTGAAAATGCACATCAAGCAATCAAGCTGTTCACTCACAACAATATGAAACCAGCGCGAAAAGATATCAAAAATGAGTCTTAAATGAAGTCAAATGAGATGAAAAAGTGAGGAAAATCTGTAGTTTTAGTCGATGTTCTGAAAATCATGCGATTTCCTGGGGACCATGACACTCCGGCCACACCGAAGGGACGGCCGTCGGGCACCAAAATTGAATGGCCTCCGAGCTCCCCCGATGTCGTCTTCAATGCTTTGAAGATCTTTGAATTTCATGAAGCACTCATCTCATCATCATAACATCATTGATCACATCATTGATCACATCATTGATCACATCATTGATCCATGTTGATCCAATGAATTCACACTGTTGGAACTTGGCTGAAGACGATGGTTATGCCTTTTATGCTTTTGATATCTTGTGAATCTTGTGTCTGCTGATCGTGTAGAACCTCGACAGGGAATATCAACGAATCATATCGAATCGTATCATCCTGAAATCCTGAGACACTCGAGTGATCTCGAGGCGACCGCTGTGCCGCTGTGTGTCGCGCCTATTTCACCCGCTTGGCCTTTGCTCCCCCGAAGGAGTCGCCCATCACACCTGACCCGTCGAGAATAGTCGAGAGAGTTCTTCTGGAGAAGCTTTCACAACCTTACAAACCTGTATCATTCCTTATCAGAGCCTTATTATGCCTCATTATTTCTTATCCCACTTCATCTACTTTCAGCTTGTTTCAGCTCTTTATTCTTCTTACTACCAGTGCACTTGGTTTTGTCGATGTGTTTTTCATGCATTTCCTATTGACCCACAGAGTTCCTGAGCCACGATATTCCCAGAATCTAGTATCTCCTGCTCCATTCTTTACTTTTGACGAAGGTCATGCCAAAAAATGCTGCGAGTTATATAGTGTAAGTTAGGAAAATTCTCAGTCCTGCACATGATCGCGCCACCAACACCAGTTCCAACTGTGACCAAGACTATCTCAGCGACAAGATGGGATCATGAAAGAGCAGTTGAACCTTCTACGACCTTCCAAGTGCATTTTGGAGAAATGTCCAGAAACATCCAGAAACCAAAGAAATTTATATAAATGGTCCCGGTCCGTCCCGGTAGTGTTTCATGTAGTCTAGCAGTCTCAGCTAGCAGTGTCTCTCAGAGTCTCTCAGCTCCCAGCATGCTTCATGCCAGCCGCAGCTCCTGTCCAAGCCTCAGAAAGCAGCTACGAGACTGGAGCGGACAAGTTGGAAAGGGAAGAAAAAACAACAGGAAAAAAAACAGTTGTGGAACGTAATAAACATCCGCATAAAGATGATAAAACAGTTGTGCAGCTGTTGTTATCAATTCTTCTTGTTCCGGCGGATTCGTTTCAGGGTCTACAATAACCAGGATGAGAGAGAATGGCATTTCACAGTCGTTCACAACTTGTTTTTTCTTTGCAACAACAAAGTGCATCGGGCAACGATTGCTTACCCATCATGAATGAAAAGCTTGATGGAAAACACGGATAAAGCCGACAAACTTGGAGCTCTCCCTTTGCAAAATCTTGAAGATACTGCCAAGAGCAGCTGCTCACCCCTCTGCCGTTCGAATGGAATAAGAACCCTGTCACCGGTATGTCAGTTATATCATGTAGCATCATGTTTTGCATAATCTTATGTCTCTCATAAATGTATATATATATATATATTACCTTATAAATTATAATATAAATAATATATCAAGAAAGATAAATATATAAAAATACTGCTAACAAAATAAATAAAACAATTTACAAAATAAAAAAAAAATAAATAAATAAAAAAAAAGAAAATAATAAATAGTCAAGAAATTGACCCGTGTTGACAATGCAAACCCCCAGATGCATAAATTGGTTTCATCGGTGGTCTGCCTCCGCCAGCAAGGCCGCATTTGTATCGTTCTCCAAGGAGACCCTGGAAGGCTCCCAGCCCAGCTCCTGAAGTCACTCTGAAGAATGTACAAATGAAATCAAGATAAATCAAAAGATAAATCAAGTGAATACCGAGTCTTCATACTCTGTACAAATTGGTGTTGCAAACAATTCCTCTTCCGAAAGGCGGCAAAGCACCACTGCTGTCCATCATTGCATAGAGTGTGAGTGTGTGTGTGTGTGGGACATACTCCTTTGTAATCCTTTGTACATATTGTATATTATTGACTATTAGTGTATGATAACAAAATATATTTGAAGGAAATAATAAGAAATGATGCGTCTGTGCCTTGCATCTCTCATCTCTCTAACCACCCGGTGGCCTACCCGTCCACCCAAAGTCCCCAAATTGAACTCATCTAGGCGATTTCCGGACCTCGGCCAGAAGTCGAACGAGCGGGACCTGCCGCACGAAACTGCCCCGAACAAGGCGGTCACAATGCGTTGATGTCAAGAATGTCAAGAGCTCTGTCAGAATGACATGTCAACATGATGTCATGATGTCAACATGTCAACATGCCTCCCTCCAACCACGAAGATTTGCAGCTGCTCGAACGACTCCAGCCACCTTTGGTTTGGGAAGTCAGACTCAACACAGAAAGGTTTCCCAACATGGTTTGGCTCAACTCCCATCACAGAGATTCACAGAACCCTGCAACGCTTGCTGCATCGATCTGCAACTCTTCAAAATAGTTGTAATCAACTGGGGCATGCACCGTGTCCATAAGCCCTGGCGTACAAACCTGGAACTGAAAGGTATCATAGCAGAACTTTGGTATCGGGTTAAAATCATGAGTTTGTCCAACATTGGGCCAAACACAAAAGTTTTTCTGTGTTGGTGACGGCAACAAAACATTGCATCAAGCTACAGTGAAACAAACAACTGCGTACGAACCCGCTGCATTAAGAACTTCAGGGGCTGGATTGCTGGATTCATCCCTATCTGCGGGCTGCTGGAACAGAAACCATCTTGGCAGATTTGCAAAACAAGGCAGCAATAAAACACACACACACACAAACACTCACACACACCCACGCGCGCGCTTGCTCAGAACTGTCTTATCGAATTATGAAGTGGGGTGCATCAGTCGTGCAAAACACACCAACACAAAATAACACAATGAAATGAACCTATATCGACGATATAGAACAAAGGCGATATACTATATGTCCCCCCGCCTGCGGGACTATATGTAATAGATAAATAAGCAAGTACGTTTACACAAGTGCTCTGGGGGCGTCTTCGTTGGCCACCGACCCCCTGGGACCCCGGTGGCCCCCTGGCGTGAAAGAAAGTATACGCGGTGGCTGCTGGGCGCTGGTGAGTCGCAAGTGCGGCAGTGGTTCCCACCCCCTTAAGGCCTGGTTGGCGCAAATGCTGGCTCCACCTTCACTCGCTTCCTGGCCTTCTCCTGCTCGGTTTCCCTGGACCTTCGCAGCGCTCGAACTGAAGCACCAGATCCACAGGCTCCACCAGGAGCAACATGGTCATCATCAAGACGGAGGGGCTGGACTGGCATGTTGAAGCTAGCAGGAGCTCCAGGTGCTGCTTGCGTTTGTTACAGGATGGACTCCTGAGCTTCTAGCATTGCCCTGTTCATACCCTGCTGCCACTGAAGCTCGCACTGCTTTCTACTTTGCTCCTCTATTTTCTTCTTGCGCTGCTCCTCTAGCTTTTGCCTGTATGCAGAAAATTATTTTCCATGCTTCACCGTCATCTTGGCACTCCCTTCAAATTGCTCCTGATCCCTGCGGTCGGAGCATTCTTTCAAGAACTCGCCTCTCAGTCATGCCATGCTGGCCCATGGTTTCAAGAAGTAATTGCAAAACTTTCCAAGCACAACAGTGATTTTTGTCCTTGTCTCCAAGGCATCTGAAGCACGCTCGGGCACAGCTGACACCAACAGGCAGAATGGTGTCTGGCTTTGCCACATCCAGCGCAAGGCCCTGATACACTTATACAAATGGTCCACGCACACTGCTTAGGTTTGTTGGTTGCTGAGGAATGTAGAACTTGAGGACGCCTGATTCCTAGGCGAATTTCAATCAGGATTGACACCCGCAAAAACGAGAAATCGGTTGGCAGGTACGTCATTTTGGCGTTTCAGAATGATTTCACACTTCTCAACAGGCGTCTTCGTTGGCCTGAGTCCTGTTGAGAAGTCTCAGGCCCCCTGCTCTAGTTGAATTATTGTAATCATATCCGTGTGAAATAACGGGTTTCACACACACTTGCTCAGAACTACCATTGCGAATTCTGATGTGGAATGCATCTTACGTGCAAAAACACTCCAGTTATACCTGACAGGAATGGGTCAGTGAAAGGACCCGAGAAAGAATCAAAGAGTTACCATCGCCATAGCCAAAGCTAGATGAAGTAAGTGGGAAGCTGACACTTCCCCTTTCAACTAAGCCAAGTCGTTCCCACCTTGACAGATTGCGACAACAGTGCAAAACGAGAAAATTGAAAACAGGTTGTTTGGAAACGGCATGGTGGTTCTTGGGTTAGCCACATCCCATTTCAGAAATTTGACATGAAATGAGATTGAAGCAGGTACGTCGATCCAGCGTCCCGGATCGATATCACAGAATGTCATAGCCGTCTTCGTTGGCTGCAGAACTATGACATCCCCTGCAGCCCCCTGCTCCCTACTTTGAAGTGAAAAAACAAACATGTGAAATACAAGACAAAACTACGAAAATCTTTCGCCGCCTGGATCCCCTGAGATCCAAACCCCCAAGGCTTCAATCTCCTGCACTTGGAAGCACTGGAAACACTTAACCGAAACACTTACATGATTACATGAATTACATGACCTATGAAGGAATTCTCACCAGAAATACCACTTCTCCTTCCTCTGAAATATGTGCGTTACCGAAAAATTGACGGGATGGGGATCAAATGGGCTGAGGTTCGCAAACCCAACAGCTAGTTCGAGCCACCTTTTTCTCGCATTCATGACTGTGCGTTGCAACAAGTGTAATTGAACACCTTCGTAACTTCCCGGTATCAAAAGGTCAAAAAATGCCATGGTTTCCGTCACTGTTGCGAATTCCATGCCTTGGATAGAGAAACACCATTGTTGCATAGATTCTCATGTTTCCACCTATTGCGCTAGGGGTGAGTCTCATCTCTTTTGCTGCTCACCCCTAAATGCTTCAGTAAGTATGAATCCTACTGCACTCACGTTTCTGGATTTTGGTGCCAAAAGATGTCACAATATAATATAAAATTATATAAATATGCTGCATATCAAAATGATTATCATGAATCTATGGTGTTCCACTGGTGTAAAAAACGGAGCGTGATTGATCTCCGCACTCCTCCAGCCGATGGGTCTTCTCCACGCCGTTGCAAAGCAATGCCTCCGCGCTTTCAGCGGTCGAGCACTGCTGTTTTGTATGCTGTAGCATTTTAAAATGTTTTGTATAATCCCCACTTTACTAAAAGCACCCCAAATACTAAAAACTAGGAAATTTGAAGTTGGTCAATCTGATTTTTAATTGATCTCCTTTGGAAAAAAAATTAAAGTGAAGGTCCCATTTGACGGTTTCACACCCTGATAACAACAACTAGTCAACACCGAGATGTTTTTTAGTAGAGTCTGTCCTTTAAAATCGAAAGTTATATGTTTTTTAATTAAGGTTTTAAGTTCAATATCAGGGGAATCTTCGAAATCAAGTTTTTGGCAATATGTTAATTAGATGTTAAAAAGGGATTTAGTCGATTTTGAAATCGAAACCTTTAGGTTCTAAATTAAGGTTTTTAAGATAATATTAGGGGAAACTTAAAAATCCAATTTTTGGCAATATCTTAATTAGATGTGAAGAAAGGATTTTATCGATTTGTAAGTAGAAAAAATATGTTTCTGATGCTTTTACTTTTATATTAAGGGAACCTTTGAAATCCAATTTTGGCAATATTTTAGTTAGATTTCAACAAGGAATTTAATCGATTTTGAAATAGAAAATATGTTTTTCTTAATCAGGGTTTTAAATCTAGTATTAGGATGTATTGCGGGGAAGCTTCGCACCCTAATATTAAATATCCCCTAATACTGGAAACTCCTCCAGGTGTTTATTCTTAGGGGGCCCACCCGGGTTTAGTATTAGGGAGCAGAGATTATCATTATGTATGTTAATGGGTTCCAAAAAGATCAATGTGCTTGCATTCGTTCTTGATGAGCCTGTAATTACATAGTACTGCTGTAGATCACCGTAGTCCCTTTCAGTGATTGCCGGACTGCCGGACTGTAGCCCTGTCATCGTTTCGTATCGTTTCTTCCCGTTTCCTGCCTCCAAGAGGGCTCGAATGCGCTTGACGATGCATTGAGGGCTATGGTCCTCGCCTACTTCCTGTGACCTAACGACACCGACGAGACCGACTACACCGTCTATTTGTCAACCAATATGAAACCTAAGGATGCCCGCTAAGATAAGAACGAGAATGTCAGGGGAGAAGTGAAAAGAAAACTTGGACATATCGACCAGTGAACGTCAATGATATGGTCAAGGTCTTCCAAAAGGAGTATAAGTCAAACTGGATTACTCAGTTCTACAAAAATTCAAGCACGGAAACTGGTGAGGTTGGAAACTGGCTTTTCAGACTGAACGGATTGAACAAAAATGAACAAAGTGTGTTTAAAACACGATACTGAAGATCTATGAAGATCTACAAGTGTAATCAATTGCACACATATTCAAGAAATGAGCAGTCAAAATATGTCAAAATCTAATCTTGAGATAGTCAATGAGCGAATTGAATCGAATTGACATGGCTATGACGAACCCACCGCAGTTTGAAGCGCCCAAAGAGGCCAACCAGAAGAAAAGAACCTGTTGAAGAACGAGAAGAGAAACCCCCAAAACCACCAAAACAAAAACAGAACTAAGGAATACGAAGGAATTGCCTAGCTGTACCTAACCACCTAACCACTTACCTTTGGACTTTAGACCAAGAAACCCCGTTTTACCCATCCTTGCACCTTCACTCCTGGGTCTCCGAGCAAAACTTTCAGGAGGACACCATGAGCATTCAGCAAGCCAGCCGACATCGTAGTTCCCCCCAGGTCCTGCGTAGAAAAGGATGGAACAGGCATGGGAAAAGGATGGAAAAGGCTGATCAAATGATCAAAGCACCCGTGTCATCTGCGATGTCACAGAGTTTTCTGGTTCTATGTCTTTCTGCGATTGACATGATTGACAGCTTCAAAAGTCTTCAAATCAGCGAAACTCGTCAAATCTGTGGCATATTTCGAAGCCGCGGTCCAAACCAGCGAAAAGACGCTCGCCATCGCGTCCTATGGCAGTAGTGTCACAGGATGTACAAGGTCACAAGGTCTGTTTGAATCCCAACATTTCCATGTTGCGATGTCCAAAGGCTGGAAACATTATGAAAGCCCGCCACGCCGTCTCGAAGAATGCGGTAATTTGGCTGGAAAGGCTCGTTTTGAGGTGTTTCCAAGTGATTCTCAAAGCAAAATGATCAAAATGTCACGAAAAGACTCGAGCTTCATACCTTGACTTCCTATCTTTAAAATATGATACTGTATGATACTGTCATGGTAGCTGCTTCCCTCGTCGTAACGACCCCACAGTCACTTTGGACATTCCAAAGCCTGGACCTGGATGAGCACGTTTGCCCATGAACCGATGGCGATGGCTTTGGCAGCTATAACTTGATCGGAGGGACAAGCAAATGAGTCGTATCTATATCGTGCAGATTTATATGTATGTGTATGTCTATAAGTATATTATATATATATATGTGTGTGTCATATTATACCTATATATACCTATTATATATATATTGTATATACGCATATATACATATGTAATATATATATCTATACATGTGTAATGTAATATATATATATACATGTGTATGGGTTGCTTCACACCTATTGCATCAGTTAGGTCGTCACCCTAATCTGTCTTTTTTTACTCTGACATTGAAGCAATGTCGGCAGTGACTGATATGAGTACCTGCGAAATGCACATGAAATGGCTCAAAACACATGCATTGCCAATTTTTGTTCTGAACTGCCTAGTGTGTCCATAGAGCGCCAGAGTTGCCCTTCGCAAATGGAAGGCACTGAGCACAAAGGCTATGGCGGCTATGATATGAGTCAAAAATCACCTAAGTGTCTTGGCCCCTGCAAGGTCGAATAGCTTCGCATCTACATGGAAACATTGATGTTCTCTGGTTGAAAAAACAGGCTTATTGCCATGGTCGTCATTGTGACATGGAGGATCAAATTGCACACATTTTGCACACAGCAATTGCTGATCTCCATATCTGCATTGTATTGTTGTCCCTTTGCCCTCAAGCCCGTGACTTCCCGTGACTAGCATGGCCAAAAACCTTCCCAACCTCTCATCCGAGCAATCATGAAACAAGGAAACAATCCATCGTTGTCAGAGACAGAACCGACGGAATTGCGAGGCAAATAAGAACTCTCCAGACATGTTCGACATCCTTGACTTGGAAGCACCGTGTGACACCCCTTGAAGCTTCAAAATCAATGGGATCAATCCAGGATGCTTCAGATATGTCGGATCCAGGATCTTGATCCGGCCGATCTGAAGACCATGAATGATCATCATTGAATCATCATTGAATCATCATTGAATCATCATGCACATGTCATGCACATGTCATGCACATGTCATGCACATGTCATGCACATGTCATGCACATGTCATGCGCATGTCATGCGCATGTCATGCATATGTCATGCACTTTATCCTAGTCCAAATTGGAAGCTCAACGAACTGCTCTGATCAGGCCGCATACACGCAAACATGAACAAACCGTTTGCCCACACTGGGAGACACTGGTCCCGAAGCTTTGCTTCAAAACGTACGGCGAACAGTTTTAGTGACAAACGAGAAAAAAGGATCATACATTGAGTTTCAGTGCCAGCGTGTTGCGTCTTGATTTTTTGGACGCGATAGCGAGCAAGGTCCTAGAGTCCTAGAGTCCTTGTTTGACGCACTTCCGGAGCCAGTTTCACATAGTTTCGCTTGTTACATCTGGGTCTAGGTGATCAAATGCCTGTAACCAAATTCAGGGTTGACTGTGATTGTTTCTGTGTTTTTGTTTTGCGTTTGCAATTCAAGGTCTTCAATTTGGGTTTTAAGTTGTTCCTTGTTGTGACTGAGCGTGTCGTGGCACACAACCGTGGCTGATCTGCAAATTTTGCTGTGAATGCACATCCTGGTCTGAATTTGGAATGGTTCCATGGTCGATTCCACAACATTTCGAAATAGGATATTATATATGTAGGCTATTTAGGGAAATTTCGAAATCCGGCAGTTGATCTTTATAAAGAAGTTCTGCAGAGAGAAGCGCATCTGGCCTTTCGTCTGGCTGTCATTCAATCTGAGAGAGTGAATTTGAACATAGGACTGCAAGATGACAAAGCCGAAAGAGGCACCAGATTTCACATGAGTTCCCACTTGAGCGCTCACTTGCCGCTCCATTGATGTTAATTGAAGATCATTGGATCCCTTTTTGCTTTGCATTTCTTCATTCTGGAGAAATCGGAAACGGGCAGTGACACTCCCTAGCCGATGTCGCTATGCAATTTGGCTGCAATACCATTCCTATTCCAAGATTGTCATGTCAATGTGTCATGGGTTCTCCAAGTTAGATCTCATACCCTGCGCCTGGGACTTGCAAGAGTTTGGGTGGAAAGTGCACAGTAGAATGCCAAGTTAAAAGCGAGGCCTGACTTTAGGGCCCTGTTGAGTACCTGCTATGGTCATACATCTGTGGCGCCATTTGCAACCCCCTTGCAAAGCGTTGTCTTGTCTTCGCTCACGTAACTGGGTGGAAGAGAGCTCTGTCTTCATTGCTATTAGCTTCCTTTATCTCTCTTGAAGTTTTCCCCCCCGCAATATCCCTTTAACAAAAAAAAATGAATGCCTCCCCCCCGGCCCTGGGCTGCCCCTGTGAGCCAGCTCTGCACCGCTATCAACAAGAGTGGCCGGTACAATACCACAAGCCCATCACCCGGTCGGGGCAGCCCAGGGCCGGGAGGGCGGCGCAGGGCCGATCGACTCGCAGCTTGGGCAAGCCCAAGCCGCAAGCCGCTCAGCCCAACGCCTCCGGCAACCAACTACACCCAAGCCCGGCGCCGCCCGTTCATCCTGCCAAGGTCATGCGCTGCAGACCTTGAGCAGAGAGTATCCCGCCGACCCGCAAGCAGCTGCTCCTCACGCGCCCATGCATCACCGGCCAATGCGCCCTCTTGGCCCCCGACCGAACACTAGGGAGAGCTCTTTAAAGAGCATCTCCCCGATGTTCGGTTCGGTGGCACAAGAGGGCGCAATGGCTTCTGTGTCGCAAGGGTGCGAGAGTTGCAGCTGCCTGCCGGTGGACGGGACACTCTTGCTCAGGATCAGCAGTGCACGACACAAGGCAGGTATATTACGGGCGTCCCCGGGCTTGCATGATGTCGGTTATTATGGACCAGGCGAATTTGGCTAGCTTCTTGCACCGTCTTGTCAAAAGCAGCATCGGCAGAGCCAACTCGTTTTATCTTTTTATATATTATATGTTCTCTTCTTTCATTTGTTTTGATTTCTTCATCTCTTCCTCCCACATCGCTGTGTCAGCAGGGAAGGCAAAGCTCACTTCTGAGAGTCCTTGCGCTGGTAGATTGCACACTCCCGTATGTTTTGTCTGTATGTTCAGATACTTGTATGATTGTATGGCAGCAATATACATATCTATATATATCCGCCGACTCCGGCAAACGCAAGGGGGAGCGCGCCAGGGAATAAGACATTCGACCCTGTAGGGTAGAAATGCAACAACAACAACAACAACAACAACAACAACAACAACAACAACAACAACAACAACAACAACAACAAGAACAAGAATCCGCCGACCCCGGCAGACGCAAGGGGGAGCGCGCCAGGGAATAATACTTTTGATTCTTGTTTCGGACTACTACCGCAGCAGGCGCAGCAGCAGCAACAGGAGAAGTAAAGCAAAGACAAGCAAGTTTAGCCGCACCAGCAGCAGGAGCAGCAGCAGTAGCATCAGCAGACGCCAGCACCAGCATCACCAGCAGCAGCAGCAGCAGCAGCAGCTGCAGTACAGTAGCAGGAAGCGCAGCGGACGCCTGCACCACCACCAACAGCAGTAGCTGCAAAAATGTTGTTCTTCGGGGCGGCACACCACCAGCAGCAGCAGCAGCGGGAGCAGCAGCAGCAGCCAGCAGCAGCAGCAGCAGGTCAAGCCCCGGGGCAGCATGTTTTTGGAGGTCGTTCCATCCTTCAGTAGCATGGTGTTTCGGTGTGGCGAAGGGTGTGTTTTGGAGGCTTGCAGCACCTGCTCCAGCAGCACCAGCAGCAGGAGCAGCAGTAGCAGCAGTAGCAGCTGTGTTTCCCCGTCCTGCAGGGTGCGTTTTCAGCCTCGGGAGGAAGAGCAGCAGCAGCAACAGGAGCAGCAGGAGGGTTCTATGTCTAATTGTACAAATAATGGTACAAAAATTGGTTGAAAACTATTGTTTTTCTAGAGTTTCAGAACGGACGTTAGGCACTTTTTGGGCTCGATTTTGGCACTGTTCCATCCCTCAGGGCCAGTGTGTTTCCTTGTCCGGCAGGGTGCGTTTTGAGCCTCCGGAAGAAGAGCAGCAGCAGCAACAGGAGGGTTCTATGTCTCATTGTACAAACAGTGGTATAAAAATTTGTTGAAAACTACAAAACCTTGTCCAAAACTATTGTTTTTCTAGGGTTTCAGAAGGGACGTTAGGCACTTTTTGGGCTCGATTTTGGCGCTGTTCCGTCCTTCAGGGCCACTGTGTTTCCCTGTCCGGGAGGGTGCGTTTTCAGCCTCGGGAGGAAGAGCAACAGGAGCAACAGGAGGGTTGTATGTCTCATTGTACAAACAGTGGTATAAAAATTGGTCGAAAACCATAAAACCTTGTCCAAAACTATTGTTTTTCTAGGGTTTCAGAAGGGACGTTAGGCACTTTTTGGGCTCGATTTTGGCGCTGTTCCGTCCTTCAGGGCCACTGTGTTTCCCGTCCGGCAGGGTGCGTTTTCAGCCTCGCGAGGAAGAGCAGCAGCAGCAACAGGAGCAGCAGAAGGGTTCTATGTCTCATTTTACAAACAGTGGTACAAAAACTGGTTGAAAACTATCACCAGCAGCAGCAGCAGCAGCTGCAGTACAGTGTTTCGGTGTGGCGAAGGCTGTGTTTCGGAGGCTTGCAGCACCTGCTCCAGCAGCACCAGCAGCAGGAGCAGCAGTAGCAGCTGTTATGTTCCCATCCGAGGA